TTATCCTAGAGAGCATCTTTCTGAAACGTTCCCAGCAAAAGAAGAAGACTTCCCCGCTGAATTTCAAGAAGCGCCTCTTTCTGTTGACCGAGAGCAAGCTCTCTTACTATGAATACGACTTCGAACGTGGGGTGAGTCCTGGAGACCTGAGCCCAAGATTGGCACAAAGTCTTCTTTAACCAGATTTATTGGAAGGGAAAAAGACGGATTAGATCTCAGATTCACTCAACAACCGGATACCCTCACTTTATCTCCCGTTTCACCCCTAAGTGTCTTAGTACAAGTAGTCCTCCACTTATGACCACAATTGAGCCCAAAAGTTCAGTGGTTAAGTGAGATATTTGAAAAGTGAATTTTGCCCTGTTTTCTTGCCTCGGTTTTTAAGTGAATCACTGCTGTTGGTAAGTTAGTAACCTGGTTGTTAAGTGAATCTGACTTTGCTTGTCAAAAGGTTGCAAAGGGGATCACGTGACACCCCCCCCCCAGGGGGACGACAAAGCAAGGGTCATAAATATGAACCACTTGCCAAGTGCCTGAAAAACATGGCTATGGGGATGCGGCAAAGTGAGAAACAGCCATAAGTCACTTTTCCCAGTGCCATCGTAACTATGGACGGTCACTAAACAAACCATCTGTTAGAAATGGTGTGTGGGGTCTCCTGCTTGGGCGGCGGGGGTGGGGTGTTGGACTAGAAGACCTACAAGGCCCCTTCCATCTCTGTTAATTAATCTGTACCGTCCCTCCAGCTGCACAAATTGTAGATTGAAAATTTAGGTCTCTTTTTTTGTTTAAAAACAAAAACAACCCCTCCAAATTTTTTTTTCCACTGTCTTCCTGCAGCGCAGAGGAAGTAAGAAGGGCTCAGTGGACATTGATAAAATCACCTGCGTCGAGATTGTGGTTCCGGAAAACAATCCGCCTCCAGAACGACGGGTGTTGGTAACGAGACATTTCTGCCTGTTCTAAAAAAAAAATGCTGGTTGAATCCCCCATAGGTGGCTTGTTGGTGGGCCATTCTCACTGCAGCCCCTCCCTGCTATAGGGAGCTGTCAGTCAAGCGATAAGAAAGCATTGTCCCCTGTTTTGCTTTTTATTGTGGTATCCAAATTAGGATCCTTGGCTAGGGATGAAAAGCCAACCAACGGTATGATGTCTAACTGGCTTGACAGGAGGGGGAATTTCACAGTTAGATTATGAAAATTAACGTGCTTTTGCATTTAGCCCATTGAAGCCAGGTGGAACGATCCCAGCGTTTCAAATTCCCCAGAAGTGTAACGCAGAAGCATAGACTTAGCATAGACTTGATCTACTTGTTGTATGTATGCATGCATGCATGAATGCGTCCATTCATGTCTGTATTATTTATTTCATTTCCAAACTTTTTTGCATGCAGCGAAAAGAAGATACAAATGAACACGAGCAGGTTTCCATTATAGAAAGGTTTCCGTATCCCTTCCAAGTAAGTTTCTTTTTCCTATCAGCTTTCCAGTGAAACATTAACCAAGGAGTTTGGGCTTCTGGGCCAGGCGGTGCCAAGGCACAAAAGTAGCTAAGTTTAGGAGGGATGGGGAAAATATAATACCGAGCTCTTCAAATAGTCAGCTGCTACGTATCGTATGATACGAAGTTAAAAACCGTATAACCAAAGGGCTCCTGATTGGGGATGCTTTTGATTCTGAAGATCAGTCATCTTGTCTTTTGAACGCAGTGTTTCTCCACCTTGGCATCTTTAAGAAACGTGGACTTCGATACCCAGAATTCCCCGGCTAGGATGTTGAAGTCCAGGCATCTTAAAGTTGCCAAGGTTGAGAAAATACTGTTCTACAGGACAATTTCTTGTAAGTAAGAATCCTTCATCCAGAGAGATGCTAGGGTAGGATTCAGCTGGTTTCGACAGGTTCGTGCGAACCAGATGTTAATTTTGCATCCAGTTCGCTGAATCGGTAGTTGCCCCGCCCACCCTGCCCCTCCCTTCTCAGGAGTCTCCACGCGCCCGCTCATCATGTCAATTAAGTGCAGGGTCCACTTGGAGGCTGTGGGATGGCTAAAAATGGGCCTCTTGGAAGTTCTGGAAGTCCAGAACAGGCCTGATTTCAGCCTCTGGAGGCTTCCGGAGCCCAGGGGAGGCTGTTTTCGTCCTCCCAGAGGCTCGAGGAAAGAATCTGGAGCCTGGGGAGGGCAAAAACGCCCCACACCACCGTGGTGCAGGAGGCCAAGTATACCATGCCCACCGAACAACTGGGCAGAGAACTGGTTGCTATCACTTTTCCATCCGACCCCTGGATAGATGGTTTAAGTGTCCAACACTTTCTCCTTAAAATAAAATCTCTCTCTCCTTCTCTCTCTCTCTTAGGAAGGTTCAGACCAACTATCCTTAAGATATCTCCTGGCCATTGTGTAATATTGTGCAATTTCTTTCCAAACATTCTTTGTGTATGAATATGGTTTGTACGTCAAGCTAGAAGAATAAGAGCAAGATTTGTAAATCATGGGAATCCACTTAAGAGAGCCAGGATGGTGTGTTTGTAATGGGGGGGGAGAAAAAGTCAGGTTTGAGAGCTGGATTGACCGCAGAATTCATTGGATGACTTAAGACAGTCACTTTCTTCTTCACTGGGTAAAATTGGAGCACACTCTTAGGTAAGTTTTCTTGAGAAAAGTGTGTAAAGGATACATTTTTAATGCCCCCTCTTTTCTCAAGAAAATATGCTAATTTTACCCTGGTAAAATTAAGGCATCCAATGAATTCTGCAGTCAATCAAGCTCTTAAACCTGATCCCCCCCCCCCAACACAAGCATAATACATCTAGACCATTATTTATGACCAGGATCAGAGCCAGAATTTCTGTTGCTAAGCAAGACAGTTGTTAAGTGAGCCATGCCCAATTTACGATCTTTTTTTTGGCCTTGTTATTAAGCAATTCCTAATACTAAATAGCACTTAGACTTATATACCACTTCACAGTGCTTTACAGCCCTCTCTAAGCAGTTTATGGAGCCAGCGTATCATCCCCCAACAATCTGGGTCCTCATTTTATTAACCTCGGAAGGATGGAAGATTGAGTCAGCCTTGAGCCAGTCACGATCGAACTCTTGACGACGGGCAGAATTAGCCTGCAATACTGCACTCTAACCACTGCCCCACCTTGGCTCTCTTAAATGAATCAAATGGTCATTAAACGGGCCTGGCTTCTCTCCTATTCACTTCGATAATCAGAAGGTTGCAAATGGTGATCATGTAAACTCATGGGGATATTGCGACAGGCGGAAGTATGAGGACCAATCATAACGCACTTTTTTTCAGTGCTATGTAGCTTTGTAGTACCTTCACTAAACCAATGATTTTAAGTTAAGGGGCTGTCTATATTTTAACCCCTGTTCGTTATCTCTGCTTTGTGTGTCCCCAAGATTATATACGATGAAGGACCCCTCTATGTCTTCTCTCCCATGGAAGAACTACGGACTCGATGGGTTCACCAACTGAAGACCAGTCAGTATCCATGTGGTTTAAAACATGCATAACTGTTGTGGCACCAGAGAAGGGCTGTCTTGTCACCCAATGAAATGTATTAGGGCCTCCAATAAAGGGCAGATACAGAATTCTGGATGATGGTGACTCTAATGTATTTGTAGACTATGAGATTGAGGGCTGCCACCAAGCAAGTTTCCTCGTGATAAACGCTAGTATAATGGCTGGGTGTGTACAAGTTTCAGCTAAAAAGACAATTGTAGGTAACAGACCTTTTCCAAGTCGATTGTGTGAACCAGGCTATCAGGTTAAGCTGTAATAATATGATGGATTGATTGGTTTGGGCAGTGCATGGTCAGAAAACACACAGTCCTTTGGTTCACTGACAAATGCGCGCTCGACAAAAGCGCGCCGACGAAACCGCGGCGAGAAAACCGTGAGGTCAAAATTGCGCCGACGAATTAGCACAGAAGCGCACCAACAACAGCGCGCCAACAACAGCGCGCCAACAACAGTGCGCCAACAAAAGCGCGCCTTCAACAAAGAACTAATAACAACCTAATAACCCTAACCCTAAATCTAAACCTAACCCTAACCCTAAATCTAAACCTAACCCTAACCCTAAACCTAAACCTAACCCTCAACCTAACCCTAAACCTAACCCTGAACCTAACCCTAAACCTAACCCTGAACCTAACCCTAACCCTAACCCTAACCCTAAACCTAACCCTGAACTTAACCCTGAACCGAACCCT